ACCATCTTCTTGCATGCTTGCTTGCCATCTGCATAGTTCCAGGGCACTGTCTCTTCAGGTCTTTTGCACATTTTCTAATTAGATTTTTTTTTTTTACAGTTAAATTATGAGAGTTCTTTATATACTCAGATTCTAGAAGCACTTTGTCACATATGTGGTTTACAGATATCTCCCAGTCTGTAACTTGTCATTTCATGCTCTTCATATGGGCTTTGACAGAACAAAAAAAAAATTTTTCAATTTTGATGAGGTTCAATTATCTTTCCTTTTATAGATCATAATTTTAGTGTCAAATCTAGGAATTCTTTGTATAGCCCTAGATCCCAAAGACCTCCCTCTCTTTTTTTGGTTTCACAGTTTCAGATCATAACAAGTCTTGATCCATTGTGAGTTATTTTTTTATACAAGGTATAAGGTTTAGGTTGAGATTTTTTTCTTCCCCCTTAGGGATATCCACTTGCTTCAGCACTATTTGCTAATAAAGATGATTCAATATACAAATGGCCTAAATTAGCATCAGCAAAATGTTGTTCTCTGATTTGGGCTTGAGATGCTGTTAGGCTGCTCATAGATGCTCATGTTCACTGTGAGGTTTTTAAAGATCTATAAGATCCTGTAAAGGAAGATTCTAATTAACTCTAACATTTCATGGAGGACATTACTGGTAAGGCTTTCCAAGTGACTGGAAGCTCAGGCATGGAGTGGCCTAATAACCATTTGCTGTAGAACATGACCCTTTCATAACAAGATTGAATATAAAAAGATGAATCCCTGGTTCTAATTCCAGAAGGCCATAAAGACCTCAGAGGTGACTGCATGATCAATAGCTTTGGTGAACAGATGTCCAGCCTTAGGGCCTTTGGGAGTCCGATCCCTTTCCAAGTATTCTCTGGTGCAGCCTCCAATTCTCAGCGGGGACTGGAGAGTTGAACAGCATGATTTGGTGACCAGCCAATAGAAAAAAAAAAATCTCTCCAGGAATCTCCTTGAGCTCTAGGTTTTCTAGGATTTCAACCAATGAATGTAGCTTAGTATAAATTATCCTGGCTTCTCTGTTACTTCCAGTTCAAAGGTCTTTCCTCTCAATTGTCAGAGTGACAGGAAGGTATTTTTGCAATTCTAATGCTAAAAAAATTTCAGAAGCAGTCAAACCAAACATACACCATTACTGACCAAGGGTCAAGAAACGCATTTTCTTGGAAAGATCTCCATTTAATTGCCCTTTGGACCATTGCCACCCAGCTCAGGTAATGGGAAGCATTACCAAATTAGAGCTCACAGGTCCAGAATCTAGTCTAGGCCTCAGTGGCTGGAGGACTTGAGGTAAAGCCCAACTTCTTTATACTTGCGTTTCCCTTTCCTCAAAATGGCAGTAAGATTTGTCTTACTTACTTCACGGTGCCATTGTGAGGCTCAAATTAGATAATAAATGTGAAAGTTATCAGAAAACCTGATAGTTTTCCAGATTAAGAAGATCCCTCATGTACACACAGAGCAGGCTTCCTCGGCTACTCAAAAACCTGGCTACTTCCTACTTCCTCCCTCCCCACACACCACAGCATTGTCCAATTAAAAAGAAAAAAAACCCTAAAACCAAAAAAAAAAACCCCTATTTGGGAATATAAGTAAAGAGCTGAACAATGTCCGGCAGCTAAGTGGTCAGTAAATCATTGCTGTCAGAATCACTCTGTGACATTTCATTACACCTTGCCACCCTCTGGATGACAGCTTGGTTGGGGGTTATAGCCGGGGCAGCTGACGGTCAGCTAGAAAGCCATGTTGCCCTGCTGTAGCACATAGTTCTCGCTGAGAAGGGCTGCCCACACCCATCCCACACTACATGTCCAAAACCCTCTTTTTTTTTTTTTTTATAATTTTTTTTTTAAATGTTTTATTTATTTATTCATGAAAGTCAGAGAGAGAGAGAGAGAGGCAGAGGCAGAGGGAGAAGCAGGCTCCCCGCCTAGCAGGGAGCCCAATGCGGGACTCGATCCCAGAACCCCGGGATCATGACCTGAGCCGAAGGCAGACGCTCAACCATCTGAGCCACCCAGGCGCCCCTCCAAAACCCTCTTGAAGTTAGATGTGGCCACGTGCCTGGGTTGAGCCACGGGAATGTGGAAAAATAGCGATGTGTGCTTCTTTGAGGACTGGCCCTGAGTGCCTCCATGATGCGCCCTGTGCTTTGTCCTGCCTGATGGGCTGGAATGGTGGTGTTTGCCAAGGAGACTGGAAGCAACGTAAAGAAAACAGCAGAGTGTCTGTCAGCCTCCCTGACATCCCGGAATGGGACTGCCCTGTCAACGGGTCTCATGCCCAGGAAAGCTTACTTGAGCAAGAAAGAAACTCCGATTTTGTCTGATTAATTGTATAGTTTTTTTTTAAACTTTTAAAAAGATTTTATTTATTTGACAGAGAGCGTGCACACAAGCAGGGGGAATGGCAGAGGGAGAAGCAGGCTCCCCGCTGAGCAGGGAGGCCAACATGGGGCTCGATCCCAGGACCCTGGGCTCATGATCTGAGCCAAAGGCAGACATTTAACTGACTGAGCCACCCAGGCGCCCCTATTTTATGTTTTTTTTTAAACAGCAGATGGCCTATCCTAAGTTTTGGCTCACTTGGTCATTTTTTTTTTCTTTTATGTGAACATGGGAATGTGTTGGGGGACTTCAAACTTGTGACCTGCTGTATTTTTCCCCTTGTGACATGTGAAAATCTAATTACCCAGCACAGTAGGTCTGAAATCTCTGGTATAGTTCTTTTAAGACTGCATTTTTCAAGAGTTGACTTTATTAAGTGAAATAAGCGTGACCTATAAATATTAGCCATACCAATTTTTGAGATAAGTTTGACAGAAGACCTTTTCTCTCCATAAGGAGTTTTATCTAATCGAATTTTCTTAATGTGGCCTACATCTGGTGCAGGCGCAGAAACTATGAACTCCTCCATCTTTACTTTTCATCCCCCCTGCGTGCGTCTCACACAGTGCTGCCCCTAGCCCTTTAGATATCTTCAGTCTTGATTTGAACAAACAAAACCCAGACCGGGAAACGTTAACACATCACCTGGGCATTTGAATGGTTGTCCCTTCAGCCTTCTTTGAAGCCAAAGGGATCTAGGTTTTGGCTCCAGCTTCACCATCAGATCAGTCATGGACCCACTAAAAACTGACCTAAGACCATTCCCTCAACTGAAAGCAGCACTAAGAATAGCACCCACTCGTGTGGAATCCACGACATCATACATACAGATTGCACAGACGCTGAAATGCACCCAATAAAGTCCGCTATTCTGTTCACAAGCACTTTTTGTAAATAACTGCACTAAAAGCAATTTGAAACATTTTTGCCTCTTTGTTAAACTGAAACTATTTTGCTGCAAGTACAGTTAGACTACCAGCCATAAAACAAAATTTCTACCAGGGAGACTCCTGCTTGGGTGGTGATTAGTGGGATATAAAACTGTGTGTGTGTGTGTGTGTGTGAGAGAGAGAGAGAGAGAGAGACAGACAGACACAAGGAGACCGGGAGACAGTGACATGGGGAGGGAGATGGAGATGGAGACGGCAACACGGGGAAGAAGACGGCGATAGGGAGTGGAACAGAGGGAGCAGGACAAAGTGGGCCGAGAATGCAAATACAAGTCAAAGTCAATAGAACAACATCTCTAAAGTACTGAAAGGAAAAATTAAAACAACTTTCAACCCAAACTCTATACCCAAAAAATTTTTACCATTAAAAAAATTCCATTTATAACTCCTAATTTTTGTGCAGGTGTAGTTTTGACTTGGTATGGTATTCCTGCTGCCTGAAGAACTTAACATTTCTTACAGCGTAGATCATCTGACACTGAATTTTCTCAGTGTTTTGTTAGTCTGAAAAAGTCTGTATTTTCGCTTAGTTGTTGCTCAGTGTGGCCACGTCAAGCCCTCTACCGTTTGCAGTAGGAAGAGGTCCCATCACTGCAGCAGAGATGAAAATTGCCTCAGGGCAGGCTGCTACTTATCATACACACGCGTCTTATTTCCTGTCCCTAGAATGCCAGTCCCCGGAGAACAGGAGTGCTTCCAGCACTTCCAGCACTTAGTGCAGCGCCTCCTCCTGGCCACCCTTTCCTGGGCAGCCACCATCCTACTTGGTGGCAGCCGGGCTCTGGCCCTCCGCTGGCCCCTCTGCCCCCCACCGGCCATGACCTCCAGGGTCTTTGCCATCTGTCGCTGCCACCACCCCTGCTGCAGCCTCGTTGGTGGACGGTTGAGGTGGGCAGGTGACAAGGGTACTGTCCTATCTGCCCTGGGGCACAGCGAAGCAGCCAGCTGTGAGGAGCCAACTGGTGGTGGAGGCAGAGCAGGAGGAGGTGATGGGGCAAGAATGGGACAGAGGTGGCCCCGGGCAGGATCATGTCAGGTAGGGGCAGGATGACATCGCTAGATGAGCTGAGGAAGGACATCCAGGACTTTGTGGAGGCAGAGAATGCCCTTCAGAAGGAGGAAGTGGAGCTGAGGAAGGTGGTGGGGGTGGGGTTAAAGCCTGGCACGGAGGCCTGGGTAGGGACAAGGTGGTGTGTGCCTTTATATGTAGTAGAATTCCTGGTGAGCTGATTGGGAAAATACTTTAAAATAGCAAGGAGCTATTTAATAAGCAAAATAAAGAAGTGAAATAATTATATTTTAATTATGTTCATTAAATGAAATAATGTATATACTGCCCTGGTACTGTACCTAGAACATTGGAGGCACAAGTGAATACTGTTAATATTAACCGCATAAAATTGGAAATTAAAGACTTTTGTCGAAATAGGATTTACCTGCCTTTCTCATCTTTGAATAAAGAAGTCTACATATTCATGATTTATCTACTCTATGTGAATTCCATGACATTATTCCCTGGAATTTAAGTTCTAATTTGCATGCTACCCAGACATAGATAAATGCATGTATAGAAAAGGCTTGAATAGTTTTCCAGATATTCTAATTATTCATCTTGGTGATTTTGTTTCAGGAAAAATTCCTCGAAGATTTGAGTATCATCACCACTTGTCAAAACTAAGTAAGCTCTGGATGTTTGGTAGGCTATTGGTGAGTATAAATAAAATGACTGTTACGGAAATAACAGAAAGAATAATTTAGCCCATATTAAATTGGCTCCCTGCTTCAGATTTTTTTCTCTCTCACAGTCAGCTTTTCTGCCTTAGTAAATTCATATTTCCAGAAAACAGATGTGAGCATGTCTCCTCTCCAACCCACATCCTCCAGGGGCTTGGTCAAATGGCTTGGTCTGACAGCCTGGCACACCTTTCTAGCCTCAACACTTACAATGCCCCTCAGAGACCTTCTGTCCTAGAGAAACTGAGACACATTTTATGCCATGTCCCATGCTTTCCCAGTGGGAATCTTTAAATTCTACCTATGTTTGAAGGCACAGTTAAAATGGCAATTTTTCTTTGGAGCTTTATGTAATTGCCTAAATCTAGGGTGATAATTCCTGTCTCTAAACTATCAAAACACTTCACAGTGCCAGACTGTGCCCACCTGTTTGTTTCCCTTCTTTCCCCCCCCTTCTTTCCCCCCCCTTCTTCCCCCCCTTCTTCCCCCCCTTCTTCCCCCCCTTCTTCCCCCCCTTCTTCCCCCCCCTTCTTTCCCCCCTTCTTTCCCCCCCTTCTTTTCCCCCCCTTCTTTTCCCCCCCTTCTTTTCCCCCCCTTCTTTCCCCCCCTTCTTTTCCCCCCCTTCTTTTCCCCCCCTTCTTTTCCCCCCCTTCTTTTCCCCCCCTTCTTTCCCCCCCTTCTTTCCCCCCCTTCTTTCCCCCCCTTCTTTTCCCCCCTTCTTCCCCCCCCTTCTTTCCCCCCCCTTCTTTCCCCCCCCTTCTTTCCCCCCCTTCTTTCCCCCCCTTCTTTCCCCCCCTTCTTTCCCCCCCCTTCTTTCCCCCCTTCTTTTCCCCCCCTTCTTTCCCCCCCCTTTCCCCTTCCCCTCCTCATTCTGTGCACTATGTCACATGCTGTGCCCCATGTTGAGCATGCCTCAAGGAATAAATCAGGAAAGATCCATGTTCTGAATATGACAGTTTGAGGGAAAGAGGACATTTGTAATTACAAAATGAATTGAGTACCATCAAGGAAACTACAGAGCACCATAAACTAGTGCCGCAGAGGAGTGCAGTTAGATTTTGAAAGACAGAAGGAATTTTGGTCAGGGAAGTAGTGCAGACCTGGTGCTAGCCAAAGACACCAAGAGTCCTACTTTCAGACATTTTAGCCCCCATCCTAGGGCTAACCAGTCTGGCTCTCCTGGAGAGTTCATAAAAAACTGACTTCTTTGGTGCTCCTCCATCTGCCTAGGCACAGAACAGCTCGATTAGCCTTTCTCAGCAAATTACTGATTTATCCAAATTTCACTCACTATGTCTGTGGTTTTCCCTTCTCCCCCTCTTCTTTCTCCCTTATAAAGCCTGATTTTGCTTTTGGTATATGAAATCAGTTAATTACTCATTTATTATTGGTTTCCTCTGCATGTAAATAAATCACATGCAAATAAATATCTGCCTGTTAATTTTTGGCAGAAGTTACTATTGACTGAGCTTTGATTAGTGCCAGGCATCGTGTTAGAGTTTTAAATACATGATCTCATTTGATTTTCACAATGAAATTCTAAATGCTGTGATGATTATTTTGTCATCACAATGGAAACCAAAGCACAAAGTTCAGTCGAGAGGATCAGTATTGGGATCTAGTTCTAGTGGACTCCAAATCCTGTGCTTCTAACCAGGAAGCCATAGATCCCCAGTTGTATAACCTTGAAGGGACGGAAGATCTTTCATCTGTGGTGATTTCTGGCATGTGAGATGGAAAATCAGGTAGAAAAACATACTTGATACCATTACATTTTAGAAATATGGAGGCTTATGCTAATATTCTAAAAATTTGGCTCTCAATTTGAAGGACCCACATCAGTTCAAATTCAAATACCAGTTTTCCATAATAACTAAAATGAGTCTAGTTCATAAGCAATAATTTTATGTGATTTTTTCAAAGAACTGTTTGATTATATTGTAAATATGTTTTTCCTTTGTTTTCTCTCAGCACATTTTTAGCAAATAGATTTTTAACCTGGTTTTCTATCAATCCAAGTGTCTGCCTGCCTTCCTTCCCTTTTTCCTTCTTTATTTTGGGCCTTCTCTACTTTCTTCCTTTTTTTTCCTTTTTCCCACCTTCCTTTGTCTCTTCCTTTCTCTCCACCTGTCATCTGTCCATCCATCCTTTTTGCTCATTCAATACAGAATTCCAGGAGCAGCAAAGTAGTTGAAATTCCCAGAAATTCTAAGCATCTTTGCCTCCAACAAAAATGGTTCTCCATGCATTAACATTCCCATAGCTGAGTTCAGTCGTTGGCATATGAGTTAACTTATTTGAATAGCGTAAGCATCTTCTGTTGAGGATGATTCCTAACTTTATTAGGAAAGGAGTTTTGTTTCCTAAAAACAATTCAGAAGTACTGCTTGTTCTCCACCTGAGAGAATTTCTAAAGCCTTCAGAAAGCATTCCACCGTGAATGAAAAATGAGGCTATCTGATAAATAGGTAGACCTTGAAACCTTGAACATTGAGGTGCTTATCTGATCCTAAACTATGCTTCAGTAGAATAACCTGATTAACTTCCAAGGTTTGACACTTCCTGTTCCAGTCAAGTCAGATTATCTCTAAGGAATAGTCATGCTGGTGCTATCCTTCAAAAATTCAAAATGGTAGAGACAGAAAATACTTTGAAAAATTTTGTGACATATACTTGTGGGTGTATATTCAGAAGTATACATGCAGGATTAAATTTAGACACAAGGGCATTATGAGCAGCCTAATGATGTGACAGCTCCTTAAAACAATATTCTTTAAATAATTGTTGTACATGTATTTAGTAGTATAGGGGAGCATCTAATTTTCTGTTAATAAATACTGTATTCCTCTCTTTACATTCAGAATAAGAAACTTCTTATATGTATTAGATAAAATAATATTTTTAAACTTATTGTAATTATTTCATTCCATTGTTTTTTGTTATTCATAATTTAGTGTTTCCTGGAGTACCTGGCTAGCTTAATTGGTAGAGCATGTGACTCTTGATCTCAGGGTCATGAGTTCAAGCCCTACATTAGGCATGGAGCCTACTTAAAAAGTCATCTGAGTGACCATAATTTAATGTTTCTTTTTTCTCTTTTTTATAGTCATATAAAATATTTATTTTATTCATATTTTATTTATCTTTACAACTTATTTATTTTTGACCTTTGATCTACACTTTATTTTTTAATTTAAATTAACATACAGTGTAATATTAGTTTCAGGTGTACAACAGTGATTCAACACTTCCATGTAACACCTGGTGCTCATCACAAGTGCACTCCTTAATTCCCATCGCCTATTTCACCCAACCCCCCCCAACCCTCCTCTCTCGTAACCAGTTTGTTCTCTATAGTTAAGAGTCTATTTCTTGGTTTGCCTCTCTCTTTTTTCTCTCTTTACTAATTTGTTTTCTTAAATTCCACATATGAGTGAAATCATATGATTTGTCTTTCTCTAACTTATTTTCACTTAGTCACTCTCTAACACTATGTTGTTGCAAATGGCAAGATTTCATTCTTTTTTTATGGCTGATAATTATTCCATTGTATATATATTTATCACCTCTCTATCCACTCATCAGTGGGTGGATACTTGGTCCGCTTCCATAATTTGGCTGTTATAGATAATGCTGCTATAAACATTGGGGTGGATGTATCCCTTTGAGTTAGTATTTTTGTATTCTTTGGGTAAATACCTAGCAGTGCAATTGCTGGATCATAGGGTAGTTCTATTTTTAGATTTTTGAGGAACCTCCATACTGTTTTTCCACAGCAGCTGCACCAGTTTGCATTCCCACCAACAGTGCAAAAGCGTTCCTTTTTCTTCACATCCTCACCAATACCCTCTGTTTCTTGTGTGGTTGATTTTAGCCATTCTGACAAGTGTGAGGATATCTCATTATAGTTGTGATTTGCATTTCCCTGACGACCAGTGATGTTGAGCATCTTTTCATGTGTCTGTTGGCCATCTGGATGTCTTCTTTGGAGAAATGTCTGTTCATGTCTTCTGCCATTTTTAAAACAAATTATTTGTTTTGAGTGTTGTATAAGTTCTTGATATATTTTAGATGCTAACCATTTTATTGGATATGTCATTTGCAAATATCTTCTCCCATTCAGTAGGTTGCCTTTTATTTTTGTTGATTGTTTCCTTTATAGAAGCTATTTTGATGAAGTCCCAATAGTTTATTTTTGCTTTTGTTTCCCTTGGCTCAGGACACATACCTAGAAAGAGGTTGTTATGGCTGATGTCAACAAGATTACTACCTGCATTCTGCTCTAGGATTTTGATGGTTTTCTGTCTCACATTTAGGTCTTTAATCCATTTTGAATTTGTTTGTGTTTGGTGTGAGAAAGTGGTCTACTTTCATTATTTTGCATATTGCTGTCCAGTTTTCCCAACACCGTTTGTTGAAGAGACTGTCTTTTTCCCATTGGATATGCTTTCCTGCCTTCCTGAAGGTTAAGTGACCATATAGTTTTGGGTTCATTTCTGCCTTTTCTATTCTGTTCTATTGATCTATGAGTCTATTTTTGTGCCAGCTGGTCATTACAGCTTTGTAATATAACTTCAAGTCCAGAACTGTGATGACTCCAACTAAAACACAATGATCCCAAGCCTTTGGAATGCAGCAAAACTGGTCCTAAGAGGGAAGTATATAATAATACAGGCCTACCTCAAGAAGCAAGCAAAACCTCAAATAAACAGCCTAACCATACACCTAAAGGAGCTAGAAAAAGAACACCAAACAAAGCCTAAAACCAGCAGAAGGAAGTAAATAATAAAGATTAGAGCAGAAATAAATGATATAGAAACTAAAAATAATAAATCAGTGAAACCAGGAGCTGGTTCTTTGAAAAAATTAATAAAATTGATAAACCTCTAGTCAGACCTACCAAGAAAAAAAGAGAAAGGATTCAAATAAAATTACAAATGAGAAAGGAGAAATAACAACCAGCAGCCCAGAAA